GATGATAGTTGAGATCATACGAGGCTGTTTGGTGTGAATTTTATTTCGTTTAACGATCTATCAAAACTCCTCTCTCTCCTCTCTTTCTCTCTCTCCCTCTCTCTCTCCCTCCCTCTGTTTCTCTCTGTCTCTCTGTCTCTCTGTCTCTCTGTCTCTCTGTCTGTCTGTCTGTCTGTCTGTCTGTCTGTCTGTCTCTCTCTCTCTCTCTCTCTCTCTCTCTCTCTCTCTCTCTCTCTCTCTCTCTCTCTCTCTCTCTCTCTCTCTCTCTCTCTCTCTCTCTCCCTCCCCCTCCATGATGCTGAAAATGTTAGCAGACTCCAACAAATGTTGCAGAGTCTACTATAATAGCTACCAAAGCAGTCCGGAAGAGTTGCGTCAATCCCCGTGCCTGCAAGTGATACGTTTATGCTTATGGCAGTGCACTGGTCCGGAGCCAGAGTCGGAGTCGGAGCCGATCAGCAGGCCGAAGTCAGATTTGGAGTTGCGGTGGGAACAGCGCCGTCGCGACTCAGAACCCTTTTTCTTTATAGGTACTTTCAGCTTCAAAGTAGCTGGCTAGATTTATTACTTAACAAAGCAGGCTCTCTGCACACTGCTGCGTTGGGGGCGGGGGGGGGGGGGGGGGGGCTGCAACATCCCTCCACCCATACCTGATATTGCATCTTTTTTAAACACTTGTGATGGCGGAATGAATCAGACCCAGATCTTCAAGGTTGGGTCACTTAGGTTACGTTATAGTGTCCTAGCCTCAGGAAAAGTTATAATGCTCGCCGGCACTGAAGAATGCTCGAGAGGTCACTGGTTGACCTGAGCTCTTAACCTTCACACTTACAGGAGGAGGTCGAACCGATGCGTCCCTCACGGCTTTTTCACGAATAACTCGCGTAAAAAGCGACCGACCGACCGACCGACCGACCATGGCAAAACTTTCAATATCCCGGAATTGATCAATGCTTTATCTTTCCTAAAAATACATGACCCTGAACCCAATAGCCTTTGACCTGTAACCTCTTTCTCGATACCATGTCAGGCCAAAATGCCGATTCCATGCATGTCAGCGCATATTATCTACGCGTTTCCAGGCATTTTGTGATTGGCACTATCAGGTCCCTGCAGGCGAAATGATCAGGGCCGACCTGATCATTTCACATGTCCGATCAGGAGCCGCCGACCTGATCACTTCACATGTCCGATCAGGAGCCGAACGGCTGTAAGGCGGGTTCCTACGGAGTACGGACCATTTGCATCAGTAGACGCTACAAAGTGGCCAATACTGGCAATATTAAAATCAGTTACCAGTCAATGTATCTCGTAACCACGCACACAACTTTCTGGAAGCCCTAGCTTAATCTGAGCGAAACGACGGGGACCGCACACGCTGCCCTCTGGCCGGATTACATGTGAAACACATAAATGTCTGGCGAGGCTCGAAAGGGAAGCTTCACTTCCCATTTATCAAAACTTCATGTCAGGAAGAGAATTACTACGCTTAGCTGGTGTCTCTGTATAACGTATTCATAAAAGAGCGCCTTGTCTGCCGCACTGGTAGCACCGAGAGCCCGCTTACTCGCGCCCACCCCTCTCCTCCCTCCCTCCCCTCCCTTCCCCAAGGGTCAGGCGATTCAGTGGCCCTCAAACCTGACCGCCCTCCGCCGCGCCGGATCACCAGCGCCACCCCGCCATGCTGCGGTACTTTCAAGACAGACTGTACATTGGGACTAGTGTGTGGAGGGATGGATGGCGATTCATCGATAGCCTGATTCACAGTTCGGCACACGTAATTGTCAGGGACTCGATCTAAACAAAAGAGACACGAGCGAAACAAGTCAGTTGGGGTGGCATTGTCAGCTGCAGCTAACTATTTACCTATTGCTCGGTATAGCGACCTGTATGGTGCCTTTCAGCATTGACCGACAATAGCTGAGACCGAGTGATGGGCTTTTATCGGAGCTATGCTGGTCCTTTGCTGGAGCACCGATTACATACTGGATATCCCCTGCTTTTGCGGCGGTGCACTTTTCACTTGCTGATGAAGAGAAGAAAGTGACCTACTAAAAGGAAGAAAACAAACGAAAAAGTGAACCGTATGTCCCAGAATTATAAGTCTCATGAATTATAAGTCAATGAAGCGGTAACGAAAAAAATAGGTGCGATTTATGCAGACGGAGCATCGTGCAATTCAGATCCACATTACAGCCGATTTGAAATGGATTCAAAGTTTATGGCTAATGTCTGAAATGGGATTTAGAGCGGACAGCTTTTAAGTTTATCGCCACTATAGACATGTCGCCACCTGACAGAGACAGGAGAGTGTTGGCTCATTAATTTAGATCACTTCAATCGGCTGTGTTATTTAATCAGCTTCATGGTGAGAGTGGACTTGCCTTGATTACTTGTAAACTAGTTAATATGTAATGAATACACCCGACTTGTAACTAGTTTGAGGTGATAGCAGGATTTGTAATCAGTCAGCCTCGCGCGAAATAAAAAACTATGTATATTGATAGAGACAAGTAGAAAAACACGGAACAAATAGTGCATGGACGCGTTTCGATTATTAAATCTTCATCAGCATGACATAATCACAGTCGGTGTCGATGTCATAATCACAGGAAGTGTCGGTGAAACATATCTTGTTTTCTCTGTGATTATGTCATGCTGATGAAGATTTAATAATCGAAACGCGTCCATGCACTATTTGTTCCGTGTTTTTATAAAAAAAACTATGTTTTTTAGAAGGGAAGTAATTACAAACGTGATATCGTGTCAAATTTACGTACGGGTGCTGAAATAGTTAGCATTAATTTGGAGCTCAATGCGAATTGGACGCACTGATTACAGATAATGCGCAACATCATGGTTACCTTAAACTAAGATCCAAACATAAAAATAGTAGTAAAAGTCAGTAGAATAGGAATATGCCGAAAAAATCATAAATCCGTGGAGACGCCATGGCAAAAATCCCTTTGCTGTGTCCTTACCCAAGATTAACCTTCCAGGCGGTGGGGGGGGCATTTTTTTGCCCCCCTTTAGTTTTTTCGATATATCTCGAGAACCGCTGCGCCGATCGTCACCAAACTTTCAGTACCCTCCCGGGAGCAGCTAGCGCACATGGTGACCAAAAATTTTTCCAAAGGCTATGATAGGTTGGCCGCTAATGACGTCAGAGTGACGTCATTTTTGCCATTTTCGACCCAAAAAAAGGCTTCGCGGGAAGAGCTGTCAGGCCTACAGCTTTAGAGATACAGAAAAATGTTTTAGACATAAAAGGTGTAGAATCAAAAGGACTACAAAACTGCCATTTCGGTTTTTCGATTTTTTTGGATTTTGACCCCCAAAAATCAAAAAATAGATTTTTTGAATATAATAGCCAAAAAATCCAAAAAGTTTTTTGAATTTCGAAAAAAACGGAATATGTGTGATATTCCCTACCACCTTCTATCTACATACCGAATTTGAGATCGATACCTCTTTTTTTGGCCAAGTTATAGCGAAAAAAACTGTTCAAAATTGATGACGTCAAATTTTCAAACTCAATTTTTAGCAATTCCAGACCTCGTAGCGCAAAACAAAGACCACCATTAGACTCCCCGTGACGAGCTGCATCGAATCGATACCCATTTTATGCAAAAATATCAACTTTGAAATTTGACCTTTTTTGACCTAACCTTGACCTGACCTCCACCAGAAAGTGACCTCAACCGTACCTGATGGTCTTATAACCAACACCATTGAGTTGGAAATGAAAAACTGGCCATAAAACATGCATCACATAACCTTAGTAAAGTTGGGCTCATGTGGTGACCCTTGGTGACCTTTGGTGACCTGACCTGTGACCTGACCTGGTATGACCAGTGACTTCTAATAGCAACATATGTACTAGACAACTGACGCCTTATCGCTGATTTTCGACAAAATGCGTTTTACTCGGTGTTATAGCGCTTTCCCTAGAAGCCCCGTGAACGGTGAAACATTTTATCTTTGACCTGACCTGTGCCGTCATCGGTGACCCCGAGGTCAATGCAATTTTGTTTCCTTCGACAAATTTGACAGGGCTATCGAACGCCGTTTGAATTTTCCGGATCTGTCTAGTAGTTTCGGAGATACGGGGGGGGGGCAAAAAAGTGCCCCCCCCCCCCCCACCGCGCGGAAGGTGGCTGGTAGGCCCACCGCCTGCCGGGTTAAGACGTCACCGAAATAAAAATATGCCTGGAATTGTGACTCCGTAGCTTGAACTTTGAGCCCTCTCACGACTGCCGCTAGGTCTCTGTTTGCTGATAGAGAGCTGATCGTTCCGCTGGCCTGTCTGGGTTCCATCTCCCGCCGGTCTGCCATGGATACTGTACTCAGGTCGATCGGTGTCTGCCGTGCGCTGATAGATGAGCCAGTGATGGAGTGTAGCGATAATCTCTTCTTGAGCGTGACCTTTCCACGACAGTCTGTCTCTGTCGGCTGTCACTGAGTTCCCTGCATCAGGTGGCACTGAGCACTGAGCAGTAGTAGGTGGGAAGTGTCGGTGACAATGGATTTTATGGGACAGCGAACAATGACGGACAATAGACATGGGAATGCAATGCATCAATGCACGGCTGGGGGAGTGGGCAGTGGGCACTATATTGCAGCCAGCAGCAGCAACGCAACAAACTCCCGGTAGAACTAACATTGGATCTAAGCAGCAGTGCCTAGATAATAAGCGAGTGTCGTGTCTGGTATGATATTTCTCCCCATTCCTGAGTAAAAACGTAACATGGATTCTCGTCGATTCCTCGGACTCCCAATGACCCAGAATCCCCGCCCTTAACTATCCCGCTCTGTATCATTCCGCGGCATTATGTGCGTCTGCGCCGCTGTTGACCCAGTCTCGGGTATTCCCTCCCCGGCAGCGGGAGGCGGTGCGTTGTGTGACCGCCACTGCTGACCCCGGCTCGGTGCTCCGGCGCGGGCGGCGGTGTGGTGTGTGACCTCCATCCGTTGACACAGTGTCCGGTGTCGCTCGGCAGGATGACGTTGGCGGCCACGGTGACTCTCCTGCTCGCCTCCGTCTCCGTATGCCGCGCGTCCAATGTTGACATCATCAGTCGGATGGACCGCAGTATGATGCCGTACAGCGGCAGCGCCCGAAACGCCTTCAGAAGGTGAGTCACCACTCTGTATTCCTGATACTCGCTCTATGTTATCGTGCATTTGCATAGGCATCTCAATATCGTTTTCTTACATAACATGGATATAATATTATCTATGGCCTTTGCAATAATGAGTGCAATTAAGTTACAGCTCTTATCTCATGCCGATTTTCGGCTAGAACAATGCGCGCTGAGACCGGCGCCGTCCTCTGTCTGTTACTCAACGCTGCGTGAGCGGCACATAAGTCACAACCCGGTCACATCTTTCTCCTCATCTGGCCTGTCGGCTGACGGAGCGCCGGCGAAATGGTCCCGCAGCCGGACAGAGTATCCACTCAGCGGGCTGTAAGCCCGTGCAATGTAGCCGCTGACGACCGCAGTGACTGTGATATGCGCCGCCATCGACGCGTGACAGTATTATGTAGGGATCTGAGACGACTGGTGTGTCAGTAGTGTAGCGGGGTTTTCGCGGCGTTGCGGGGCTAACCGGGCATTCTTTCGATGGTGAGACTAGACTAGAGATAGAAAGCTCCGTCGGTGCGCTCCTAGAAGCCCTTCTCTGTATCCAGCCCCTCGCGAGCCCGTTCCGACTCTGACTCTATCTTCCGGGGCGATCAATCATCGGAAACACATAGGCCAGGGTTAAGGAATGGGGAGGGATAAATAATAACCAATTGTCCCTGATCACATTGAATTAAGAAATTAACTCAACTCAACTGCTCTCCCACTCTTAACAACGGCACCCGTCCTAGCTGAGGGCTATCTCCCACCGGATATACACGACAATCACACTTTCACTTGTCCATCCCCTCTCACTCCTGTCATACGTCCAGTCATACCTCAAAATAATCAGAGTTAGCCGTCTCCGATCCCTCCCTCTTTTTCCTAACTTCCCCCGGTGGTGCTAGGGCGCACGCAAAGTCGTTATCGAGTCATTGGCCTTAAATTTCATTTAACCGTTATCCCTTCATAACCACAATGTTCCGTACATCAGACAAACGCTTCATAATGCTCACGCTACACAATTTGAGATACGACCCACCACAGATTTCGGCACTCGACCCTCGCGTTACGTGACTTATTGCGGTCCATCCCATCACCATGTCGAACTACCTACACAAAAAACATAAATGTCCTTCGGCCAGCGGTTCCGAGACTACGGCTCGCAGGACACTGTGTAGTCCGGTTTCCGCGGGGGACTTATTTTTTTTAGACCGGGGCTGGGTAACTAAGGTCCGTCCGGGCTGCCTGCGTCGTCTCCGTATAGCCGCGGTTTTCGGGCCAGCCCCCGGCGACCGAAAGGGATTAGTCGTTCGTCGGCTTTACACGAATCCATGACTACCAGTTATGCCAAATTGCCTATAAGAAAACGAAAACTAAGCGTACCACGGCCCGCGGTGGGCTTATCTAAACTTTGAAACCGGGCTGGGTAACTAGGTCCGTCCGGGCTGCCTGCATCGTCTCCGTATAGCCACGGCTTTTGAAACAGCACCGGCGACCGAACGGGTTAGCCTCCGTTGGCTTCACACAATCCACGACTACCAGCGTTATAGGTGCCCGAAGCCCTATCTATCCGTTGCTGGTAGTTAAGCTGTCGTCACAGACCTAACCGAAATGACCGCTGCACGGCCGGAGTAAATCGACTGACAGCGGGGTGGCCAGTACCGACTTACCGCGATCACCCGACTCGCATGCTTTGGTATTTAATGTTCACCCCCGTCCTGCAGCATCACACGTTTCTTCGCGGGACATTACTTAACCGGCGGCATACGTCTCCTCGCTGGGACGCCTGGGGTCCTAACCACCTCCGAAACTACCTACGTCGCTTATCGAATGTCATCCTGCGCTGATCACTCAATGGACCGATAGCGGACCTAACCTATCTTTTAAAACCGGGCGGGGTCACTAGGTCCCTCCGGGCTGCCTGCATCGTCTCCGTATAGCCACGGCTTTATGGGGCCCGCGCCGGCGACCGAACGGATTAGCCTTCGTCGGCTATGCACTCATCCTCAAAAATCGATCCTCAACTCGCTCTCACCCTTTCTCTTCACTTCGCGACTTATTGCACGTATCCAGGGCTTACCCAAGCGAGGCCTACTATTTAAGTGGGGTCTATCCGAGCTGAACTTCATTCAGTAAATCCGATTCCTCTACGTGTACAGTCTTCTTCCATTTCACTCGCTTCTCATCTCCCTCCTAACCCGTAGCCGCGTCGGTGGATTCTCCACGCACAGGGGCGTGACGTGCATCATCTATCTCCCCGGTTCCATCCCTTGCAGTGTCCATGTAGAATAAAATTACATATATTTCGTGTGCAACAAGGTCTAGTGTGTTGCTTGTGTGCGGACCGTTGGTAAATTGATTAGTGGAGTGCCAGAAAATCCGCTGGCAAGGGCATTTGGGAGTCAACCGGAGGAGCTCCAGTATCGGTTGGGCTAGGGAGGTCCTGTATGTGTTGTGTATAATCGCTATCGTTTGGACCGTGGGATAATTCGGGGAGGATGGAGTGCCAGGAAATCCACTGGCAAGGGCACTTAGGAGTCAACCGGAGAAGCTCCAGTATCGGTTAGGTCAGGGAGGTCCTGTGTGTATTGTGTGTAATCGCTATTGTTTGGACCATGGGATAATTTGGGGAGGATGGAGTGCCAGGAAATCCACTGGCAAGGGCACTTAGGAGTCAACCGGAGAAGCTCCAGTATCGGCTAGGCTAGGGAGGCCCTGTGTGTGTTGTGTATAATCGCTATTGTTGGACCGTGGGATAATTTGGGGAGGATGGAGTGCCAGGAAATCCACTGGCAAGGGCACTTAGGAGTCAACCGGAGAAGCTCCAGTATCGGTTTGGCTAGGGAGGTCCTGTATGTGTTGTGTATAATCGCTATCGTTTGGACCGTGGGATAATTCGGGGAGGATGGAGTGCCAGGAAATCCACTGGCACGGGCACTTAGGAGTCAACCGGAGAAGCTCCAGTATCGGTTAGGTCAGGGAGGTCCTGTGTGTATTGTGTGTAATCGCTATTGTTTGGACCGTGGGATAATTTGGGGAGGATGGAGTGCCAGGAAATCCACTGGCAAGGGCACTTAGGAGTCAACCGGAGAAGCTCCAGTATCGGTTAGGCTAGGGAGGTCCTGTGTGTATTGTGTGTAATCGCTTTTGTTTGGACCGTGGGATAATTTGGGGAGGATGTAGTGCCAGGAAATCCACTGGCAAGGGCATTTGGGAGTCAACCGGAGGAGCTCCAGTATCGGTTGGGCTAGGGAGGTCCTGTATGTGTTGTGTATAATCGCTTTGTGCACTGTGTAAAATCAACAGATAAAGAGAACTGATCGTTGTAAATTACTCTGGCCAGACACCTTGGAAACGACCTCTTTTCTGACTGTTGGTTAGCATATGGCCTTTTATGCTCCTTCCTCCGATCCCTGCCCTTTCAGCACTACTCACAATCGTATTTCAATATTTACAAGTCCCATTTATTTACATACTCCGACGCAACACCTTAAATTCCCTTGCACGTCAAATTTAAAGGAAAGATTCTGGGCCCAGGCCGCCCATCAACTGAGCCCCACAAGCCGCGCGGTGCGGTACACAGTCGCCCGTCCCTTTCCCGACTCCCCACGGTGCATAATCCCCTCCGTCCGCCTTAATCACCACGGGGCGCCGGACGAGGGTCCACGTCGGCACGCGTCTCGCACCACGCGCACAGTTACATAATTGACCGAATCGAATTGTGAACTTAAGCTACCTAGACTGAAAGTCCCAAGAATAAATTGAGCTAACTAAACTGAATGGCCTAAAATATTGCGGACGATACCAAAAAGGGGAATATAATGTGGCTCACATAGCAGTAACGAGGGGGGGGGGGTTACTTGAAGGATTTAGGGACTAGGTACGCACCCGTGCTCACCGCGTGACCTTACTTGAGATGGAGTCGCTGACATGATGGTCGTGTCCGTCCAGCGCCCGGCCCGGCGGCCAGAGCCGCCGCCGGCGCCGTGATGCCAGCCGCTGGTGTCTCGTGGGCTGTCCGCGATGTCAGACGAGAGACGTGGGCCGATAGAGTGCGAGAGGCGCCGAATCAGTCGTCCCAGAGAGTGCCAGAGAGAGTTCCAGTTCCGTTTCATCAACTTATACTTTTGATGACGTCATACTTCAGAGGGCCGGGCAGCATCTCCTTGTCCAATCTTCGTCCTCCATTCCCAGAAAGCGCGTTTGGCTCCGCCTTCAAACGTTCGTGATTTGCTGAAGTTCAGCACCCCCGGCCATGGCAGTCACACCCTTTCACGCAGCGGTCGGGTGGAATTCGCCGCCGGCGATCACGGCGTCTGGGGCGCCAGGTGGCGGGGCTGGCCCTCCGCTCCCCCTTGTTTTGAAGTCAGCTCCGGCCAGATGTCCTATATTTTGTCGTTGGCGACCGAGTTCCATTTCATCCTGTTTTCGTACAAACCGGGTCGGTCCCCGCTCCCCTTTCTTGTTTTGGTTCAAATCAGGGCCGGTCTGCACTCCCCTCTCCTTGTTCTTCTCTTCTGGCGGGGTGCCGAGCGTGGGACATTGTCTTGTTTTCCAAAGGTTAAACTGATAAATGGTTCGAGACGGGCCGAATGGCGCGTTTCGGTATGCTATTTGTCGGCTTCAGATCCGGGTTCTCATGAAGCGGGGTGGTCATCTATAGGGGACCCCTGTTTGTCGAAGCCGGCTGCGCCGTTTCTGTGGGCGCCGGCTGGGACGGAGATCGGGTATCACAGCCGATTTAGCCGGCTGACCGTGTCTGTGTGGCGCTCGCAGATGGCTATGTTTCAGCTTGTGACACAGCTTGCAATTCCGCATGAAAGATGAAAAAAATGTAGCGCATCTGCGTTACAAGTACATAGTAATTGTGTAGCGGGATGTCGGGCTGCTACTGATCAGTGTGTATGCGAGGCTGGTCATTCACTGGCGGGCACATAGACTGCTACACACAGTACAGCGGCATGGGTCACAGGGCTGGTGGGCATTCACAATGGGATATTAAAAGGTTG